CCTAATACACCAGTTTCCTTATGTACCTAATACATCAGTTTCCTTATGTACCTAATACACCAGTTTCCTTATGTACCTAATACACCAGTTTCCTTATGAGCCTAATACATCAGTTTCCTTATGAGCCTAATACACCAGTTTCCTTATGTACCTAATACACCAGTTTCCTTATGTACCTAATACATCAGTTTCCTTATGTACCTAATACACCAGTTTCCTTATGAGCCTAATACATCAGTTTCCTTATGTACCTAATACACCAGTTTCCTTATGTACCTAATACATCAGTTTCCTTATGTACCTAATACATCAGTTTCCTTATGTACCTAATACACCAGTTTCCTTATGTACCTAATACATCAGTTTCCTTATGTACCTAATACATCAGTTTCCTTATGTACCTAATACACCAGTTTCCTTATGTACCTAATACACCAGTTTCCTTATGTACCCTAATACACCAGTTTCATATGTACCTAATACATCAGTTTCATATGTACCTAATACATCCAGTTTCCTTATGTACCTAATACATCCAGTTTCCTTATGTACCTAATACACCAGTTTCCTTATGTACCTAATACATCAGTTTCCTTATGTACCTAATACACCAGTTTCCTTATGAGCCTAATACATCAGTTTCCTTATGTACCTAATACACCAGTTTCCTTATGTACCTAATACACCAGTTTCCTTATGTACCTAATACACCAGTTTCCTTATGTACCTAATACATCAGTTTCCTTATGAGCCTAATACACCAGTTTCCTTATGTACCTAATACATCAGTTTCCTTATGTACCTAATACATCAGTTTCCTTATGTACCTAATACACCAGTTTCCTTATGTACCTAATACATCAGTTTCCTTATGTACCTAATACATCAGTTTCCTTATGTACCTAATACATCAGTTTCCTTATGTGCCTAATACACCAGTTTCCTTATGTACCTAATACATCAGTTTCCTTATGTACCTAATACACCAGTTTCCTTATGTACCTAATACATCAGTTTCCTTATGAGCCTAATACACCAGTTTCCTTATGTACCTAATACATCAGTTTCCTTATGTACCTAATACACCAGTTTCCTTATGTACCTAATACATCAGTTTCCTTATGTACCTAATACATCAGTTTCCTTATGTACCTAATACATCAGTTTCCTTATGTACCTAATACACCAGTTTCCTTATGTACCTAATACATCAGTTTCCTTATGTACCTAATACACCAGTTTCCTTATGTACTGTACATCAGTTTCCTTATGAGCCCTAATACACCCAGTTTCCTTATGTACCTAATGCATCAGTTTCCTTATGTACCCTAATACATCAGTTTCCTTATGTACCTAATACACCAGTTTCCTTATGTACCTAATACATCAGTTTCCTTATGTACCTAATACATCAGTTTCCTTATGTACCTAATACACCAGTTTCCTTATGAGCCTAATACACCAGTTTCCTTATGTACCTAATACACCAGTTTCCTTATGTACCTAATACATCAGTTTCCTTATGTACCTAATACACCAGTTTCCTTATGTACCTAATACATCAGTTTCCTTATGAGCCTAATACACCAGTTTCCTTATGTACCTAATACATCAGTTTCCTTATGTACCTAATACATCAGTTTCCTTATGTACCTAATACACCAGTTTCCTTATGTACCTAATACATCAGTTTCCTTATGAGCCTAATACACCAGTTTCCTTATGTACCTAATACAGCAGTTTCCTTATGAGCCTAATACACCAGTTTCCTTATGTACCTAATACATCAGTTTCCTTATGTACCTAATACACCAGTTTCCTTATGTACCTAATACACCAGTTTCCTTATGTACCTAATACAGCAGTTTCCTTATGAGCCTAATACACCAGTTTCCTTATGTACCTAATACAGCAGTTTCCTTATGAGCCTAATACACCAGTTTCCTTATGTACCTAATACAGCAGTTTCCTTATGAGCCTAATACACCAGTTTCCTTATGTACCTAATACAGCAGTTTCCTTATGAGCCTAATACACCAGTTTCCTTATGTACCTAATACAGCAGTTTCCTTATGAGCCTAATACATCAGTTTCCTTATGTACCTAATACACCAGTTTCCTTATGTACCTAATACACCAGTTTCCTTATGTACCTAATACATCAGTTTCCTTATGTACCTAATACATCAGTTTCCTTATGTACCTAATACACCAGTTTCCTTATGAGCCTAATACACCAGTTTCCTTATGTACCTAATACATCAGTTTCCTTATGTACCTAATACACCAGTTTCCTTATGAGCCTAATACACCAGTTTCCTTATGTACCTAATACATCAGTTTCCTTATGTACCTAATACATCAGTTTCCTTATGTACCTAATACACCAGTTTCCTTATGAGCCTAATACACCAGTTTCCTTATGTACCTAATACATCAGTTTCCTTATGTACCTAATACACCAGTTTCCTTATGAGCCTAATACACCAGTTTCCTTATGTACCTAATACATCAGTTTCCTTATGTACCTAATACATCAGTTTCCTTATGTACCTAATACACCAGTTTCCTTATGAGCCTAATACACCAGTTTCCTTATGTACCTAATACAGCAGTTTCCTTATGAGCCTAATACATCAGTTTCCTTATGTACCTAATACACCAGTTTCCTTATGTACCTAATACATCAGTTTCCTTATGTACCTAATACATCAGTTTCCTTATGTACAGTCAGCCAAATATCCAGCGACCCTTCCCTGGCTTTCGTACTTGCAATTTTATCTAGTAATACTTGGTAAAGGTGATTGTGATTGGTGGATCTATTTTTGGCTCTATCTCTGTCAGGATAAATATTAAACAATCCAAAGGTAGAATTTTTATAATAGTAAATTATTCATTGTCATTTAAGATCATGAGGAATTTCCAAATGTTCGTATATATGCTTAAATAATGAAGAAATTACATCAATGAATTGGCAACTCAACTACAACGAGGGCTGCCACAAGATTCTCAGATTAAGTTTTCTTCATTATTTAAGCAAATATAAAAACATTTGGAAACTTCTCATGATCTTAAATAACAATGAATAATTTACTATTATAAAAATTCTACCTTTGGATTGTTTAATATTTATCCTGACAGAGATAGAGCCAAAAATAGATCCACCAATCACAATCACCTATGCATACAGCCTTACTTTACCAAGAATTGCCAGGTAAAATTGCGTGTACGAGACCCAGGGTGGGGTCGTGGGATCTTTGGTTGACTGTACCTTATAAAAATTTGTTTAGCAACGTTATAAACTTTTATAATTTATTATTCATTAATTATATGTAAAACCATGCAAAATCTTGTATACTGTATATTAAGTAATTTCTGTAGCCATTAGTTAAAAGAAAAACAATGTAGAAGCCTCATAATCTTTTCTGTATACAGTAGTACCCCGATTTACGCGGTCAATTGAACCCACAGGGTTCAACGGAAAGTGAAAACCGCGTAAAGTGAACAACAGAACATGTGGGATTAATTCCAATAGAGACTGGCCTGACCCCCAAACTCCACTTTTTCAGACACAATACCTACGTTGCAGTAAAAATTACATCTTAATTTTATGATGGTATGCACTCACAATTAATAATTAAGAGAACTATCAATAATATTAGTTTTTTAACATTTACATTAGTAGAAAAGATGGCTGGGCACACAGGGATGGGGGGTTGGTTCCGAGGCAGAGGGCAGATTATTGGCCCTCACCTGTATCACTTGTATCACTATCCACCACATAGGCTTGCAGGGCCTCTTTGTCAAACCCCTCAAAGTCCATATAAGTCCATATCCTCACTATCACTGACTTAGGCCGGCTGTGGTGGGTGGCGGGTGAAGAACTCGGTAATGTTTTGATGACTGGGCAACCTTGTGCGCATCCTGCCCGCGCCGCTTCCCGCGTATATGAGTAGATGCACCGCGGAAAGTGAAAGTTCGGTTCTGGCGAGGCACCGCGTAAATGAGAAATCGCGGAAAGTGAAACCGCGTAAAGCGGGGTAATACTGTAATTTTTTTTTTCCTCTGAACAAGCTCTTATTACAAATAATGATCCTCCATGCACAGATAACTTACCTTATCATCATAGGCATCTCTACTCCACTTAGGCACCTTCTCCTTCTCTGCCTGCACTTCTACACCAAATTTATTCTCATGCATCTTCTTCTCTATAGCTACCATGTTCCAGTCAGACCTTTCTATCTTACCAATGGCACGTAAGAGGTCCTAGAAAGGCATACAAGAGTAAATCATTAGCAATACTAGCACTGGTAACCAAGCTATGACTGGCCAATACATGTGCTATGTGCATGCAGAAAAAAGCCTTACACAGTGTGATCTCTCCAAATGGATATAATTTTCATTGATCAATGCATGTGCTCTATCCATGCAGACAAATATCAGAGACAATGTGACCTCCCATAGCATAAACTGTCACAACTAGTCAATAAATATATATATATATATATATATATATATATATATATATATATATATATATATATATATATATATATATATATATATATATATATATATATATACTATGCAAGCAGAAAGAGGTCATGCATAATGTGACCTCTCCATATGGGCAGCTATACAATGTATACCCTTCAGTGCCAGCAGGGAGACATGCTAAAGCTGCTTTAAGTTATCTGGGGAAGGGTTATGTCCAGAGAGAACAATATCAAAATAAAACAAAAACAAAGAAATAAAAATTCTTGACTATGACTGACAATTTTCTCAAAATATGTTTCCTCTCATACCATCTGCTCTAGAAATGTAAGCCTAGGCAGACTCAAACCATAAGACATGTAAACAAACAATAAAAGCTTGCATTAAGTTGCTAACAGTACTGGTTCACTCCTTGCTGGCTATTAACATTATCATCATTGCATGATTCATGGAAAAAATGGATTTAGCAGTAGATACTCTTACACTGAAATTATAAAATTATCAATAACTGGGAAGTGAAATCCCAAAGATTTTGTGCATATAAAATTAATTTGTGAGTTTAGATACATTGGACATGAATAAAATTACAGCTAACATAAAAGAAATTCAAATAAAAGATAAAAATTAACTCAATGGTGACCCCCATGCCACAATACTACAGGCAAAGTAAACCAGCAAAAATGCTTAGTAATATAAATAAATTTATCAGACATGGATTAAAGAAAGTCTGTGTATTTTATGTACTTGGTCTAATCAAGTCTAAAAATGAAAAATAAAAAAAGTGTACTTGATTATGTTGTTTCAATACAGTAAGAAAATGAGGAGGAATAAGTCAGGATGATTCTCTAAATATATGAAGAAAGTGATAATGATGAGTTAGGAGGACTGTTTCAATGGAAGAGAAATGTGTGCGAGTTAATTGTACACCCACAAAAAAATTATTCGTCACCCGTGTCATATTGTATCACGCAGTATGGATGCCAAGTAATTTTTTAGTGAGTGTAAATATGGCTGAAGACTGTGATAAATACAGCAGGTATTGCATAAGACACCCTTCTTATCCACTGCAACACCTCATACCATGTTGCTGCTCCTCACTGTTTCACTGACTTCAAATGCCATGTCACATTGTCACAAGTACTTAACACTCTTGCAAACCCATGATCAATAAGTCATCACTGAAAAAATTCATTTAAAAATGAACCTTTCAAGAGTGAAAATAACAGTGTGCAAGCAATATGTTTGCAAACATATCCTTGGAACTAAACAACAACTTGTTACACTGGATTCACCTTCGGGGTGAAGCATGGACAGCATGCTGGGTTCACGAGAGATAAGAAAGTTGAAACCAATGTTGAAACCTCATATGACCTGATGTAGGAAACTATCAAATTCTTGAGATTTAGTTTTTTCTTTTGTTCCCTTAGAACCCTTGGCCTGCAACTGCAATCTTTACAGGACGAAACGGAGATACAGTCATTCCTTGGTTATCACGCCTAGTTGGGATTGCGCCAAGTGCGTGATAACGAAAAACGCGATAACGAAAGTACAGAACCTATGGGATTTATTCTAATTGGTTCCAGGCACCTAAGACCCAACCCCAATTTTCCCATTTTACGACCATTTAGACCCACTAAAGATATAGATAATTTTATGGTATCAGAAACACACATAGGCATGGCTAGGTTTATTACAAAGTGATGAAAAGGGTATGCTCAAAACTGTAGTCCACAAAACATGTAGCTATGCTTTCTTTATTTGAGTCCCCCGTCTAAGGAGTCCATTTTCTCATCGCTTCAGGACGCAGGAGTCCTCAGTTTTCCCTCAATCTTAGTGCACCCGAGACTTCGTTATTCCTTAGTAATGACACAGAATTTGAAATTGCAACAGGGGTTGCAATTGTTGAGGCAACTTAGATATATCTGATTACAGCAAATGTGTTATTGTCAATGTGTAGGTGAAAGATTTTATCCTCAATAGATGTAGGTGAAGCAAGGGGGTAACAATACACTTGGAGGCAACTGCGTGATAACGAAATTCTCGGCTTGAAAAATGCGCTATAACGGCAGGTGTGCAGATTTTGAAGGAGGCGTGATAACGAAAATCGCGATAACCAAGTGCGCTATAACCAAGGGATGACTGTACTGTACTGGTGATAATTATGACAACATTAACCACAACATCTCAAAATTAAACCCACTTCAATAGAAAGTGAACCTTTGAAGTCTGAGAACTTGAGAAAAATATGAAAACAAAATGGCATGAAAATAGAGATTTTTGGTCTGATGACCTGTCAAAGGTCAATACACAAGGAGGCAGTAAGGCCAATATTGCAATGAAATGCCTTCACTTCCCAAGCTGGTAGGTAAGGAAACCATTCACAGCAGAGCAGGCACCAAAAAGGTGTAATTTAATAATACAATATTGCAAGTGAGAAGATCAAGTGGGATGTAGTGCATCTAAAGAAACTAAGAAAGAATACTTGTTCCTACTCTTATGTCTAGATGTAAAACTGTGGTGATTCAGAGTAACAATAGATTAAGACTGAGAGCAGCAGAGATGGACAATACAAAACATTATGATAGCTTAAAGAACTGATTGTGCAAGGAAAGATAATGCAAGAAAAATGTGGACTTGAAAAACTACTGGAGAGCTAAATGAATGAGAACACCATAAGAGTACAGTATACAGAACATATGACAAGTGAAAAATTGGTAAGGAGCATTTAAGACAGCACAGGTGAAGGAATAAGCGAGTGAAAAAGAAAAAGAAAAAAAGTGCTAGATATAAAAGTGAATTAATGATGTTATGAGGCATCATATTAGATACTGTTTAAAGACTGATTTTTAACTGTGTACAGTAGTGTCACTTTGTACATGATTGTGTTAGCAAGAATGAGCATATTATATTAAAGTGAAGTGATATGATAAATGTACAGTTAAAGGATTCGTTTTGTATTTGTACTGCATTCGTCTGTTGACATTAAGAGGGAATATGCATCTGATTCAGCCCTTTCCTAATGCTTTCTACACTTACTTCTTTTGCATCAGTGTCACCTACTGTCTTCCATTTTTGAGGTTTCTGCCTTCCCTTGAACCACCTCATTTCAAGGTGAGAGATCAGGAAAGATAATTAATACTGAAAATAAAACTCATTTAAACTTACCATTGAGATTTTTCTAAACTAAATGAATTAAAACAGAATCTTATGGTTGAACTTTTACCTTAGGTTTCTTGTCTGTTACATGAGTGTTGGAGTTAGCAGTAAACTTGGCCTCCAGATCCTTCACTTTATCATTAAAATCTCCTGATTGTTCAACCTGAGCCTTTCTCAGAAAATCTTCAGTTGTTGGTCTCCCCTAATATGGAAGAAGTTGTATTATGTGGCAACAAATAATAATAAAAGCTGGTCTTTTGTTTCTCAAGTGCCAGTTTTTCTAAAGAATTCACTAGTGCAAAACACTAAAAAGTCAAAGACTCTAGAGTAAAAATAAATAATGTACTACAGGTACTATAAAAGATCACAAAAAGTGAGTTTGACTTTTATCATTAACATACCCCTAAGTTTTAATACTTCCTAAACCCTATACTAATTGTAAAATATAAAATAAAATATAAATGAAATGCAAAATTCTTCACATTTGACCAACAACAATAAGCACGAGTGGAATATGCTTCTATATACGAGCATTTCATAATATTCCACTCATTCTGGAGAATTGAAAGGATACAACCAAGGATTTTTTTTCGCAAAACTTCAAGTACATAATCTAGTGCAATAATCTACGAAATTAAATTTTCCTAAAAGCACAAAAAAAGAAGACGATACATATAGCACGATTGTTCATAAATACTGTAGCTAAACAATAACTCTAAAATTTCATTCTCATATTAATACACTTTAGTATAACTAAACACAATGATTAATCAACAAGTACTTATTTGTTAACAAGATTTCTTCATCAAATCACAAGAGAAAAATCATACAATAAATATAAATGATCTGGCACCGAGTACTTTTAATATGATTTAATACAATACAGTACATGCTGACTGTAATCTACATTTGTATTTATGTTTGAATTTTCAAATTTGCAAGTCACATCACACTAAAGACCCACAAGCATTTTCAAAGTAATCAGGTAAATTAATTAGTAAAAAAAAAAAAAAAACACCCACAAAGGCAAACACATATGTACTGTATATGCAAACAGAGATACATACATACAGTACATGAATATCCATACAAACTACAGTTGGTCCCTGTTATTCATTGGGTTATGTCCTAAAAAATAGAAACGAATACTGAAATGACTATGAGTGGGGAATTTTCCCCTTAAGAATTAATAGAACAAAAGGGTTAGGTAGGCACAGAGTACTTGTGAGATATGATTGGCCACTACTGTGACATTTGACTGCATGGGATGCCTATGATTTGCTGATGTATCTTGCAACCTATCTCCTCAAACTATTGCATCATGACATTCTTATTTCGTGTCTGCTGCCACTGTACAAGCTTGTTCGCTTGCTCACTGCTGTTATTGCATATTTGTGTTGTGCAGTACTACTGTTCATTACTGTATCAGTATATAATTGGCAAAGAATACCATTAAAGCAGTGTTAAGATGTAAAAAGTGATTACAGTTATGTATACTGTACTGTACATTCAGTAAGTGTGAAAGTACCATATGTAGAGTACAATATTGTACAGAGAAGAGTGGACAGTGTTTCCTGGTGTGTAGAAGGTGTATGTACAATACAGTAATCCCCAGGTTACAGAAGGGATGTGTCCTTGAAAAGTTGACCGTAATGTGAAATGCTAACGTGAACCCCATTTTCCCATTGACTTCCAATATATAATTGGAGATGCATCCCCAAAGAAAGTTTTTACGCAAAAATATTGATTGATTGATTGGGTAAAATATTTGACGTCATGGCCTGTAGCCATTGGGCACTGAAAATTAAACTAGGACACTCTACCAGCAAGAGCCTCACAGTCAGTGGCACCAGGCAATCATCACAAAAGGTTTTTTTTTTTTAAATGTACTTGGAGGAAATATTAATGTGTGTGCTTTATGTAAGTCAGGTGTGGCTATAAACTATGGAAAATGCTGCAGTCTGAATGATGAATACAGTACGTGGGACATAAACGACAAGTAACTGTAAACTGTTCAAATATGTTAAATAATGAACAAATGGGAGGGAAATGTGCAAACACACAGACATAAACACATGTGTGTGCACACATTCTCGCACAGAATTAACCCACTCAAAACCACTTAAAAAAGAAAAGCACTATCTTAAGCGTATAATTTCTTAAAGGTTGATTATGCTTGCTGACCTAACAACAGTTAGTTGAACTTAGTGAACACTGTTAAGTTTACTAGTTGTGGAAATCACATGCTCCATACACTACTCTTACAGGTCGATGATTCAGTTTCCTTTCCAAATCCTCTGCCTTTTCTCGCATAGTTCTAACACAGTTCTTCCTGTATTCAGTTATGCCATAATCCTCATCTCTATTATATGATTGCTGGATGGAGCTGGAATCAGTGATCCCACACTGCAACATCTGCATTGAGCGGATGAAGCGCACGTTATCTAACTCCCGTCTTTCTTTCTGCTTTTTCAATTGTTCCAATCGATTGCTGAGAATTTCTTCACGTCGCTGACGAGATTCAATGTCATCCTGGTTGATGATTGATGTATAAAGATTTTCCTTGTCAAGTAGGGTGCAACAGTACTAATTATAGCTAAATTTTCAAATAATATGCTGAAGAAAAGATAATTATAGAATAAATAAAAAATCTTATACGGTTTCTAAAATAATATTAAGCATATCCGAGTTGTTAAAGATGCATACAGGTAGTTCTGCTATAACGCGACAATTGTGTTCTTGTAAAATATCGTGTTATAGAAAATCGCGTAATAGAAATAACAGGGCTTATGGAGAAAATAGGGTTAGGTGCAGATTACTCGAAATCGAAAAAATTTAGTAGTTAGCCTAACACAAAGGATAGCACAGTCTAAATAAATGTTACATTCATATCTAATAATGAAATCATACAGTAAATGTAACACTTTACTTGATGGGGGAGAAGGGTGATTTTGAGGTTGATAAAATCGAGCTTCTCTTCAAGTGTTATATCCTTTCTTTTACGATCATCAGCGGGAATTCTATCACCAGAACGCTTCTTGTTGATATTCTTCTTTACTATATTCACAGTTAATACTACCACAAAATTGGAGAAATAGTAAGCAAAAATCGCGTTATAGCAAACAAGCGTTCGCGTTATACAAATATCGTTCCTAATTCATAAATCACGTTAGAGCAAATTCGCGTTATAGCAGAACTCACTGTACAGTAGAACGTTGATGTAACGCGAGATAGTTCCAAGAGAGGTAGCTTTAAACCAAATTCGAATTCGCACTAAATCGAAGTGTTGTTTCAATGGAATAATTTAGTTTGGTACTTGAGAGAAAAGCAAAATACTAAAAAGACTGAGTTTACCCAGATGCACCTCAGCCAGTGGCGGACTGGCCCACCGGGATACCGGGAAATTTCCCGGTGGGCTCCAAGGTGATGGTCCATCACTTTGGAAATAACGGAAAAAAAGAAAAAAGTGATATGAGGTTTATGAGATATTAACTCAATCCGCCCGAATACTACCGAATGTAACATTACAGTACTAGGTCCGTACCAATGCGCCCGAATGCGACCTGAAACTTTTGAGTGAACCCTTTTACAAGTTTTCCCGGTAGAAATTTTTGACCTAGTCCGCCACTGACCTCAGCCCATCTCCTCTAATAAACAAAACATTGTTTTTTGTAGCATTATGTTAAAATAAACACTCATAAATCAACACAGCTGAAATGAAGGGATGCAAAATGGTCTGTTTACTGGCTGGGAAGATGGTGGGAGGGAGGAAAGTGAGGTGATATGTTTGACAGTTGATGCCAAGGTCTATTGCTTATTTATTTATCTGTCCTTCAAAGAGTGATTTTAAGTTTTCTCTAATAAAAAGTCACTGAACTGACCTGGGAGAATATAATTAATATTGCTGGAATTCTTATGAGATAGTGATTAATTTGGATATATATATGCTATAGTTTACATTGGACATACAAATTTTAGTTTTAACTAATTTTATTATAAAGGGCTAAAAATTTTATCTTTTCTGCAAAATATATGGCATTTATATTCAAATTATTTGCTGTCTTGCAAGGATTCTAGCAATGCAAATTATATTCTTTTAACTTTAGACTGTGATATTATATAAGATAAAAACTGTAAGCATATAACCACCCAACCCTGGCCGGGAAGAGAAAGGAGGGGGAGGAGGGGGGGGGAGGTGACAGTGACAGTTGGGGCTGAAGGTCTAGCGAAGGATTTTTTTTTTTTTTTTTTCATAAAATGTCACAAATGTCACATAAGTGACCAGGGAGTATATAATTTACATTGCTGAAATTCTTATAAGATAGTGATTAATTTGAATATAATCATGCTATAGTTTGCACTAGACAAAAATTTTAGTTATCACTTAGTACATGTACAGTATAGTACAGCTTTGCCCTTAGGACAGTGTAGAATGCCCAGAGAAACATTAGGCACGAATTTTAAAATGTGATGTGCCAGATTGACTCAAGCAAAATAGGAAAGATTCGCTTTAAATTAAAACAGTGTCCTTAATTGTGGGTGTCGCTTTAAATCAATAATCTTAATTTGAATCGCTTTAAATCGATGTTCTACTGTATATTATTACCTGATGTAACTCTTCTGCACAGATGGAAAACTATTCCCACAATAAAAACTGAGAAAATAACAGTCAAAACAGAAAAGAATCACTGAAGTAATGTAAGGAATAACAAAACTTACAGGCTGAAGGATTAAGAATTCTGTATTATATGTAAGGGATAGGGGTCACTAGAAAGTGGTTGGGATGAAATTATGTTATAATCAATGGAACATAGTGATAAATGGGCTGATATTTTCTGATACTACAAATTAATATGAAAGGCGAGAGGTGAATTATGCAAGAGATAAAATGACCTGGTAATTCTGCATTAAGTCGAAGAGTACATCACACACATAAGATCGTGGGTTCGAGTCCTGGCGGGGTGAGGTTGTTGATTATATGTAGAAGTCCGAGCGCTTTATGGGATGGATGGATGGATATATATATATATATATATATATATATATATATATATATATATATATATATATATATATATATATATATATATATATATATATATATATATATATATATATATATATATATACACAGTATATATACACCCATGTAGTTGGGAGGAAGGTAAATGAGATACAATCTGTAACAATTGAAAAAAAAAATAAAAATACAAAATTAAGATCATACCTGAGGGGAAGTAACTCTATCACTTCTCCTCTTCTTAGTCCTTTTTAGAGAGTCCATCTTCCTATCTGCAGCAGAGATCCCAGCATCATCTATCAACCTACAAGTAATACGTCCATCATCCCTGCAGGAAAATAAGTAATCACGTAGAGAGTGCATTGTTTTCTATGAAATGGAGAAAACTGTTAACATGGTGCCTTTAATTAATTGCAGTTACTGTACATGGTATACACACTAAAAAAAGGCCCCGTTTTCTTTTCCTCAAAGTATGAAACCACAAATGCATATTATGCAATTTTGCACTTGAGTGACCTTAGGACAAAAGTTAACTGTTAAAAAATTTTTCAACCAACCTCTTCCCTATTCCCCTTTCTAATGACATCCTCTTCTTGGAAGATGGTGTCCCCTGAGATGTACTGGCAGTTTTGTTTGTGAGGTTCTTTAGAATGTTAACATGAGGTGTGGAGCGCTGTGTGGGAGCACATGACTGCTCTACCTCCATCTCTCCATCATCCTGAGGGAAAAAAAGTTTGTTCATTCTTTACATTCCTCAAAGACAAGTTCACAAATACATAATAATAATAATGAGGTTCACTAACAAACCTCTTCTTGGGAAAGCTCTTGAGTAAAACTCCATTTTAGCAAAAAATATTAATAATTTCAGAACGGAAAAATTCACTGGTCTTATCATGGAAAATTCACTAATAGGCATCATAATAAAAAATTACTGTATATGCAGAAGGTACAAAAAAATTAAGCCTTGAATATTCAGTACTATAATGCACAATGATGTGCAGGAGACACACAAGTTAGTAAGATACAATAGGAGATTGATAGTCTTGATCTCTAAACTTTTGAAGAAAATTTTGAGGTAAATTCAGTTTTCCCAATAATTTATTACATGTAAGCCAAAAGAAACTCACTAGTAAAGGCATAGTCTAGACAGCATAAAAGTCACAATGTGATACAACGATAAATGTTTAAATGTGTTCATAGCAAACATGGTTAGTTCATTATTACTGTGTCTTTATTTGAGGGTTCATGCTTTTTTGGAATTTTTTGCAAATACTGTACTATACTTTCCAAATACTCAATATGCCCTTATATTTATTTAATTTTTCTCTTTACCATTTTTGGATGTTTGAAATGGGGAATTTCCCCCCGGAAGACATCGTAGATTTGAGAGAGATAGGATATCATACTCAGTTTGTCTGGAACTTCACATTCTGCCATCTCAGCACCTGTCATAACCTAGAAAATAAATGGAGCAATAATTAAACTACACAATAAAACCAGCATGTTAGTGTTATATTGTAAACTGTAAAATGAAAAATCTGAATGAGTTGTAAACTTTGGTTCCTGTACTTTTGAATTTAAATGGACAAAATGAATATCTACCACTAATCTGGCCATTATTCTCTCCATTATTTATATTTTTGTTCACTAAGTATTCTAGTTCACAAAAAAACACTCTCAACATGATCTCTCACACCCAATATCCTTTAAAGTTACATTCTGCAGCAGTCAAGAATGTTACCTGTTTGACTTGGGTGACTGTGTTCCTCTATAACTCACCCTAACACCATAAAAATCTTCTTACACTCTTATTACAATCACTATAAATAATTTATATAAATCTAATGCTTGGTACTTTCCAAGTTGGAAAATAGTTAATTCCCTATTAAAGACAAATATTTTGGCATAAAGACCAATGAGAAAATGACTTCCACTCCTTACTACAAACCTCTTAAGCTACTCATATAAACAGCAGCAGTTGAATATTTCCTTTCTTAAATAACCATTAAGTATTTATAACATGTTCCATTGTACTGCGCCAGTATATGAGCCACTCTGGTCCATAAGATGCCAAGCATTAAAATTAAATAATGGAGAAAAATGCAGTTAATGTTTGTCAATTTACAACATACCAAAACTTTTGAACTAAAATTAAATTTTTATACTACAGTAATTGATTATATATATATATATATATATATATATATATATATATATATATATATATATATATATATATATATATATATATATATATATATATATATATAGACCTCAGCTTGCCTTGAATAAAGACTTAAAGCTAAGGTGTCTGCTGTTTCTTTTCCATGTGATTTTAGATTTATCTCATCCACGCTTTCATTAGGATACATGAAATAAATATATATATATATATATATATATATATATATATATATATATATATATATATATATATATATATATATATATATATATATATATATATATATATATATATATATATATATATATATATATATATATATATATATATATATATATATATATATTTTTTTTTTCTATTTAAAGGGGGAATGCTGGAAATCCAGCTTTTTTGAAGTGAGATAGACTGTATGAGTATGGAAACACAGAAGAAGGCAGAGCACTCCACAGTTTGGCTGTATGAGGAAAGAAGGATGTACTTTAACGGGTTATTCTATGTGACCGGCATCTACAGAGAAACGGTGGGCACCGCAGGCAAGACAAGTGTTGAGACCACAGCCTTGCCGGCGGTACACAAGATGCCAGATCCACCGAACATTGCCCGTTAAAGTACCTCTAAAAGAGAGAAAGTGAAGCAACACTGAGGCAAAGAGAAAGGTAAGAAAGATTATCAAGTAAAGGAGGAGAGTTAATAGGATGAAATGCCTTTGATTCCACCTTATCTAACAGTTGGACAAAAGAAGAGCCACCCCAGATATGAAAGCAGTACTCCAAGTTAGGACGAATGAATCCCTTATATACTTGAAGCAACTGTTCAGGAGTGAAGTAGCTACGGCATCTGTACAGCATTCCCAGCTTTCGGGAATTTAAAAAATATTTCATAGTATTATAAATTAATCATGAGTACTGTATATTGTTTTGTAGTTGGCATTTTGGGTAAAAAAAATTAACAAATGTAAGAAAATAAAATTACACAACCAAAATTAAGTTAAACAATCATGTTTTTTTTTTGCAAGGAAACAAACAAAACTGCAATTTTCTCATATATTGGCAGCTTCCTTAATTCCTCACAACATAATATAAAACACCTGCAGCACACAGACATTTCCTTATGTCCGTGTGGTGTTGCATTAAAGAGCCAACCCCGAAATAAATTACTGTTATCATTATCATTAATACTTACTGGAGGGATACCAAAGTCTCTCTCCAAGATATCAAATGCCAGCTGATTATTTTGAGCAATATCTTGAGGCCGCACAGCTTCAAAGTCAATCAGGTCAGGACGGTAACGGTGGATAATAGCACACAAAGCCCGACCATCCTAAAAAAGATATAAAAGTACATTAGGAAGCTGAGGAAGTTATAGAAATGTTGACCTATTGACCAAATTTTTGAGATTGTAAGTTGTCATGACTAGCCTTGCTCAATTCAGTTCATGCCTTTTATTTCTAATTGTGATTAACTCCTAAAGTAATAACCCTATGGATCGATGTGTTCTCAGTCGGGTACTAACCCAATGGGCCACTTTGGTGGCCCAAATAGGACTTTGTCTTGTATTAATTCATAATCTTTCTCCTACAAACCCATAACACTAAATTTAAGAAATAATTTTTTTCTGAAATTATTTTATTTTTATTGTTTATTTATTTTTATTTATTTTATTTATTATTATTATATATATTTTTTTTTGGGGGGGGAGGGGGACACTTGGGGCGATTTGCATACTTAGGGGTTAACCACAAGAGCTGAGAACTAATTCAATTCATACAATAATAAACCAGACAAAGCACATAAACACTCATGGGGTATACTTTTTTTCTAAAACATACTAATTTGGAAACTAATATACCTTGAAGGAGGTGGTCATGTCCTCTACATGAATGGAGTCATATAGAGCAACTTGCTTCTTACACCACACCAGCAGGGTATCTGGGTGTATGAATGAGTCTGCCAAATGAAAAAAATTCCAAGTTATCATTATATCAATATCCAATGAGATACAGTATTGGTATTTAACAGCATTCATGAAAATATTGAACATCAATCTAATTCTCATTATCAAAAAAATATAATATCCCCCCTACTTAACCCTCCCGCGCATCATGACCCGAATCACATCAAATCATCGGATTGCACGATTTGTCTCAGTGACCTGAATTGTGTCATTAAATTTAAACAATTTGCATAAAAAACAAACAAAGTTTCAGTACAATTGCGTCAAATTGTTGCACATCATAGTTGAATGCACGTTTTTGTGAGAGAAGCTTACAGAAGTAGCAAAATGCTCGTGGAGTTTCGCGGTGCATCAGTTTCCTCCCATCAGCCGTGCTGGTAGGTCGCATTTGGCTCTCTATTTCCTCTCCCACCCTCCCCACAATTAGTCTTAGCAAAATTTCAAAGCCACCATTAGAAAGAACATAAAATTCCATTTCCATAACTATGATAATACCTTGGTAGATTTGTGAGAAAATATCCGAGATATGATGATGAGAACACAAATAATTTTTTGTTTATTAGGAGTGAAATCAGTCTTTTTTTTCTACTTATGTTAAAGAGAAAAAAATAATATGGGATAAATTGGCTGCAGAACGATGACCAGACCTCATGAGTTTGTCGTGGTCACAGAAACTTAAAAACTTATTGCATGTGCGAGAGGGTTAACTACTATGAAATAAAAAACCAATCAAGGTATAAGCCTAATTGGGGTGCACAGTACAGTAGTTATGAGAAATTGAGAAGAGCAGTACAATAAGTTATTCAATTATCTGAAGCTGATCATTTGAAGAAAAATAAACAGTACTGTGTTAGGAAAGCATAATATAATGTAAACTGTAAACCTGTATTATTAAGTTTACTGTTTATCAACTGCACAACTCATTTATCATCCCTAGTACTTTAAAATTCAACACTGTTTTACATCAAAGTCATTTAAGTTAAAATATTAAATTATGAGATTAAATATAACTATTAAAGTGGTGAGAAAAAACAGAGAACAGGAATACTGTATTGTGATGGCCAGGGGTAAACAAAATAGATAATTGGGACTTTTTGTGTTAAGGAAATGCCAAAGCAGATTACATCTATTACAGAAGAAACAATTTAAGGATAGCATAACAAGAGATACAGTAGAAGTACAGAAATCCTGACTGCTTGGGGATTGGGTCGGTCCGGATTTTCAGAATTTCCGGATTCTCAGGCAGTACTTTTAAAATTCAAATTTGAGGAGGAATAAAGAAGAGATGAACAGGTACATTTTGATAGTTTATTCATTAGCAAATATAGCATGCTTCATTTATCAAAATGAGCAGTTTTAAAGAAAAAGCTGTGAATTCTAGAATTTTATTCTTTGCCTTTTTTATATCATAAATTGTAGATTTTCCAATGTCGTATGTTTCCATGAGAACAGTATTGCTCACACCACTTTCTAGTTTCTTAATTATTTCAAGTTTGTCACTCAATTTCAACGTGTTCTTCTTTCTCTTCACACAACAAAGTATATATATATATATATATATATATATATATATATATATATATATATATATATATATATATATATATATATATATATATATATATATATATATATATATATATATATATATATATATACACACACACACACACAAAGTTTGAGTTTTCAAAAAGTCCGGATTCTCGGGTGGTCCGGATTTTTGGACTTTTACTGTAGTGTTTTTGGTCTTGATCCCAGCCACTTCGACTTATAAAAGGTGAAGGCAAGAGAGCGTAAGTGAAACATACAAGACTAAAGAAGGAAGGATATAAAATAAACATGAAGAGGTTCCATTTTTTCAACACAGAATAATTTTTAATAAGAATAAAGCACAAGTTCGCCAGAATGAAAAGAAAGCAGCAAAATATAAACTTATGTTCATATGGGAAAAACAGGTGGCTCGATACACAAAATAAAAATGTCAAATATTAAAAAAATTTGACTTAAAATATGAAAAAGAGTTGAATGAATTCATTTAACAAGGGGATGTAGGCAGGGAGAGGAAGGTAGTATATGGGAGAATAGGGGTGTAGGTGGAGACATGGCAGAGTTGCATAGAGGACTAGAGGTGGCGATTAAAAGTCTGCAATTTTCTTTTAACAGCACAAACTGATTTTTCAATTTAATTCTGAGGCAGGTAAGTGACTCAATACACAAAAATAACCAAAAAAAATTCATTAAAGTTGAACGTTTGACGAGGCTTTTCAGTGCTACCCTGATGTGACGTTGCCAAGTCTCCACCTACACCACTTCCCTCCCTCTCTCCCTGCCAAATTCTTTATGTCCACAACTGTACAAAAGAATAAAGAAAATGTTAATGATAATCAAGAAGTAATGGTGAGAATAGAAGTGAATGTGAGAAGCTGTGCAGTAAACATAATCTCTCCAGAAAATTTTCTAAAACTATCTCAGGAAAAGTAATAACTACAAGAATGTATAACTAGAATGCATACCCAGCCCTAGCAAATGAGAAATTAAATGCCAGAAATGGGTCTGCAGTCATTTAGTATTTCCTATTTGCATTTTGTTTTTATTCCCAACTGATGAATTTAGTGTTGCATTGTGACCAGGTTAAATACTTTTTCTGTGTCAAGACTATCAATAGTAAGGTATGAGGATTACATAGATTACATGCTCTAATTCAATTAAAATTTTAGAAACAATGGGATCCATGGTCAAGTTTTGCTGAATATTAAAGATTCTTAACCAATGGCAGTATTTGCGCTGCACTATATATAATATCTGAAGTTCAGATAACATGCATAACCAGGTACAAGCTGTACACAAACACCATTGATATGTAGTATGCAAGAAACTGATCAGATTTTAATTATGAAAGGATGGGTCACTTTTCAATTTATAAAGACCTTCACCTCATAAAAATCTATAGATACAGAGGAGTCTTTCCCATGCATAATTATTTGTAAATCATATAACAAAGCAATGGAACCCAGTGAATGCAATTCGAGGTGAACAAGAGAGGCTTATTTACCCTTTACTGCAGGAGCACCAGGATAGAAGGGAAAAATAGCCACTTAGATATATTATTCATTACGAACTTGAAAAAACAGATTTAAGAACTACACAACTGCTCAAAATCTTAAACCGGATTCCTTAAAATATAATATATACAGTACACACACAATATCAATAATAACACATTATTAAGACTTTTTACTTCCTTAAATCATGCTGCCAAACATGAGTGAAATAATGAGTAGAGTACAAACATTTACATCATCATCATCCAAATACAGCTTTTCATAAGTCATAGACACTAGCTAAATAGAAGTAAAACATGAAAAGTATTAGAGAAACATATGTTAATTACCACCTGTGTACTTTTAATGTGCATTGAAGAGTGAGGAAGACAGTAAATAGCATGAAAAATAACACAAATACTCTGTACTAATATTTGTGCATAGTAAAAATATTATATGAAAAACTTCAATTATGCAGAGTAAGCATTACACTTGTCATGCTAATTATAGTAAACTTTATACAGTATAGAAAAATGCTGTTGAACTATTGTTCTGCTGGGAGAACACATGGAACATTAAAAGGAAAAATGCATGAAAAATAAATGACTCTTGAGAAGCTCACACCTTATACTATAAGGTCTACCTTTGACACACACACACACACACACACACACATACACCAAATTAGGAGAAAACAAGATTTCTGTGATTAAAGGGAATTTATTTTAACTAGGGTGAAATTTCAAACTTTAGTTCAAAACGGAATCTATAAATCAATACAATTTTCTGTACTGAATCTTGAGGATAAGTTTTTTTTTTTTTAACCATGACAGCACCTTCATATTAATCCCTTGGTAATATCATGTTCAGTCACATAAACATATATCTCTGAAAGGTGAATTACCTCTTCTTTTCCTCTTCTTTGGTAGATCCTCAGAGTTGACTAGGTGAGGATTGGTAACCTGCTCAAGGTGGGCAGCATCATCAGTATCAAAAAGGTTGCGGACTTGAAAGGGCAGAACTACTCTTAGATTAATGGTAGGATATCTTGAAGCTGGATCTAAAGTATATGATGAATGATCTGTAAATGTTGACAAATTAAAAGCACATTCTTGTAATTACTGTATAATCTGAAAAACTCTGATAAAAATAAATTAATATCAAATAAATACTATAATATAAAGCATTTTCCATTCACTTGTAAGCAACTGGACTAGTTTCCACTGACTGTACAAGACAATCTATTCATCCATTCTAATGCTATAAGATCTATAGTTTCACTTCAAAGGACAAATCCTCCATTATCAAAGCTTATTGCACATCATATTCATAACTTTACTCGTTCACCAAGACTTGCATGAAGTCTTGATAAGCTCCTTTGCAGTAAAGTACACTAATTTCCAGTTCTACAGTACTTTCCATTCCTTAATTTTCTTAAATCTAGATTCCTTATATCTGATTAATGTGTCAAATCAAATTCCTCTCTATAACTGAAATTGTTCAGGCACAATTTATAATCCCAACATAAAGTTCTTCCATCTTTCCAAATTAATACAGCAAATATTTAACATGTAAAATACAAATGCAACTGTTTCTCATACAATTTCCCCTTGGAGGTATCTGTATCCCCTATATACACAAAAAAGGGGTTATGGCGTGTAGAAAATAAACCAATACAGTATATAAATTCAGTAAACATGGAAAACATTCCTAGAAAAAACTGAGATGAGTTTTAAGGATAAATCTGTTTCAGGGACATTCATCAGTTAAAAAATAATTAATTAATATACAGCATAAACATGTAGTTATGTGTGCTAAAAGTGTAGTGCTTCATGCCATACTCTCAGAAATCTGGAGTTTATCTGACATGGATACTGGAGAAATTTTTACCTTTATGAAGATTCTCTGGTGTTGTCTGTGCTAAAAGTCGGTAGATACTCTCTCTCTCTGCCAGCACCTCTAAGGAACTCACTTTTCCAGAGCACATAGACCTGATCATCCAACCAGCATCAAAACAGCTTAGAAACCCTCGAGCGCACCCAGATCCAGTTGGCCAGAAAGGCTGTGAATTGAAAGCTTATTGTATCAGTGAGAAATGGAACTAACTCTTAATTTTGATGCATACTAAAGACAGCATAAGCAGTAAAAAGCCTTAACTAGTAAAATATTGGTCAATTAACCCTTTAGCAAAGAACACAGAGATGTTTGCACAGTTGAAATTGCTGACAATTACCAGTGGATCTGCATTTTCAATCTGCACACCAATATTCCAAACCTCCCATTTTCTATGTAGCCTTCCAAGAGACACAAAGAGTAAACCTACCCTACACATCTATAAAACTTGTATTTCCACCAACCACACAAATGGTGGAAAGTAGTGAGTAAGTTGCACCATTTCAAAATCTTAATGTGCTCCCATTGAGGAAGCTACAGGACAATAATCCAACATAATTCCACCTGTTACCCACACCAGTAAAGTTAGTGCATTTATTTTTTAATATTTCATTATTATTATTTTTTTTTTGTGATTTGTTGTGTTTTAAATAGCATACAGCTATCATTTTAATTATTATATACAACATGGAACCTATTTCTATGGGTACTGTATTTCTTTGTTATAAATGTTTTTGAAACTTTGGCAATTACAAAAATACAGATGTTACAGAAATTATTACTAAAGGGTTAACATGGATAAAAATGTAGACTAAATGAGGCATAATACAAGAGAGCAGATATCTTAATAAGTTCAGTATACTGTCCAGATAAGTTACCTCTAATAAGGTGTCTCCTACAAGCCCAGCTAAAAGTTTGTGTCCTTTTCTTTCTACCATCCGACAAGCGTTCTCAGCTGCAAACATAGATGTAAAATCAAACATGGCGATATCAGGCTTCCCATAATGATTCACAGCAAAATCTAGATGGGGTAGTTGATAGTTTGTGGAAAAATCGGCAGCCTCACGTGCATAGTGTAAGAGGGCATTGCGGTCCACGTTACTGGAGTGCAACAACTGTTGAGTGTCTGGGAGATCCTGATGGAAAGGACATAAATATAAAATACAGCAGTTCTTTAATTAGTGATTTTGTAAATATAACATTCTTTCTGGGAGACACCCACAATGTATTGGTTTCTATTCTTGATGGAATATAAAATTATAAAATTCATGGTATTCACAGGTATCGGTACTGTATTGTACTTTACATACATGTAAACTAAAAAAAAAAAAAAAAAAAGATTCAAAAGCCACTGCACCAGGTATTAATGAACACAACAGCATGTACAATCATAGACAAAAGTCGTGTCGCGGTTTTGTTCGAAGATTAAAAATAACTCATGAAACATTATGAGAGCCCTCTACCACAAGGCAGAGCCCACCAAAAGTTTAGCCCATCGACATATGTTTTCACCAAATTTCACGACACGACTTTTGTCTTTCATTGTACATGTCAAAATATGATATTCTTCATGAATATGTTTAATCACATACAGTACTTACATTTAGTATTACACCCTTGTCAATGAGGGAATGTTTTTTTGCAGTCATTACAAAGTAGTGAGTCTCATCCTTATAATATACTATATTTTCAAGGTCAATCCCTGTAGCTGCATACAGTTCCTTGAAGAATTTTTGGTTGAAGATGAAGGCTACTCCACTAATTTCCTGTAATATAAAAGAATTGATAAACAACCTCTTCTACTGGTTACAAACCAAGCGACCAAACCCTTTATCTTGGTGGCTGGCACTAATGAAATAAGTACGGTATTACCATAAACTCAGTTCAATTGAACTTTCTGAGAAACCCATTATGAGGAAAGAGGGCCTCTTATTTTTACTATTTTTTTTTAAGTGATTTAGTCATAAAATGGGGTTTCAAGGATCAAACCAATATTCATAACTTACATCAGATGCCAGCAATGACATGGGAAGAAAAAGAATACAGTAATTAAGTTACAGATACAATCATGCAAGCATAATCCATAAACCTATAAAAAACCTTATTGTTCTCATTAAACAATAATAATAATACAACCCTTTTCAACCAAACAATGAACTCATTAAATTATGGAGCACTTCAGTCAGCCTCCCAACCAACAACCAAAATAATGCTCTAGTGATAATAATTTATCATCAAACCAGAAATTCTCATTTCACCAGGCCAATACTCATTCTGTTATATACAGAGGTGCAAAATTACCAGACTCCACTACTGTACTTAAGTTAAAGCACAGTACTATTACATTTTATAAAAGTTACTCAAGTACAAGTACCAATCCTAAAATGCAATCAAGTAAAATAAAAATAAAAATCATAAAATGTACGTAAGTAAAAGTAAAAATGTGCTGTATCTCAAATATTAGATACTCAAGTAATGAAAGTGCAAAGTAGAATCACTAACATAATTAGAACAAATTATATGAATAAAAGTTTATACACTTTTTCGCTAACCGTAAATATTTTCACTCATGCCCACTGCCTAAATGTAATGAGATACAGTAGTGTTTGTCTGTACGAGATGAGATGAATAGTTTAGACTCTTGGAAGACTTTTCCAAGTAGTGTATCCGGAAAAATTCCAGGGATGTGGGATTTTTGCCGGGTTTCAAAATGTCATCTCATTACCCAGAAATTTCTCATTCCTGGAGGAGCTCTACACCAATTATTCCGGCTAACGGGGATATCACAGTACAGTTACTCATATTGTTAACTATAACAGCAGTAACATCTAGTAGCAGAACTAGTTTATCAGTGAAGTGCTTCCCTGTGGTTACCCTCCAGTACCCATAACAAAACGGCAAAACCTAATTGGGAACTTACTTGAACTCTGGCTTCAGCCTCTGATCGTTTATTAATGAAATTGGCTGTGATGGCAATGGCTAGTTTTCCACGAAATTCCTTTCTCTTGAATCCGTGGAGAGTGTTTCTTTTCCCATCCGCTCCAAGCAGTACATCAAACTCATACTGATTAGCTGGATGGTCTGGTGGACTTAGTCTCGCTCGCCAACCAATCTCTGGGTTAAAAGAAACATTGTCATCATCTAAAAAATAAACATATATTCCTAACAAAATTCAAGAACAAATAAAAGATGGAGAGTATTACTAACATGAAGTTTTAATGCGAACAAAAAGCTGGATATGGTATTTAAGAACAAAAGGGACATTAAAAATTAAAAGAGCAAGTATAAGGGAGATCATCATTGTTTTGTGGCCATTTTCCACGCTTACATGCTTAGCTGTGATTACCTCATAATAGTTCCCCATGCCGCACAATCTCTTGCAGCTTGTCTTATAAGGTTCTTAATACTGAGGTTTGCTCTTACAATCTCTCCCCGTTATTCTTGACCTACCCCCATTCAAACTTAATTATAATTATCTCATGACCCAGTGGGTCAACTCAATTCTCTCCACATGCTGAAACATCTCAGCCTAACTCTTTGCAGACCCTTGTCAGCCCAGGGTTTCCTATCCCTGTGTTGTGTTACACATCCATCTCAAAATCCCCATTTCAATTCATTCAAGTCTATGCATGACATTTTTAACACCCTATGTTTCACTGCCATACAACATTATACTTCTCACTTGCAACTGTGATAGCTTCAGAACAATGAGTCAGCTATGGCTAGATGAAGTTTAGGGAGCTGTTGCCTTTAATGATGGTAAAAGGACCTTCTCTCTGCTTGAAAGGAAAGTTGTATGCAACCGGCATAAAAAATATAATAATGTATGGCAGTGAAACATGGGCAGTTAAAGAGATTTCATATACAGTATTTTTATTGATATTGAAATAGTTTATTAAGCCAGAAAAATACAGATGCAGGGTGAATAATAAGAACAATATTACATGGCTGAGCCAAGTGAGAGCCTGAGCTCTCTTAGTGGCACCTGCTATATACTTTACTGTACATTTATCTTAAGGAATTATAATATAACATTTACTATCAGCTGGAGAGGTTCTTAGAAATGACCCCAGAATAAGCATTTGATGATAGGCTACAAGATACCATGCAGTTTGGAAAACTGTCATCATATATTCGTGACTAGCCCACAGAGGCATGGAAAATGGCTGTAAAGAAATTAGTTGAAAATGCAATAAATAAAAACTGGAGACACTAACTCTCACTCTGGTCCTCAGGTGGTTCAACAAGCTCCTCAAAGCTCACGGACTCAAATACTTCAACACCCAGCAGCAAGGCCACCTTCAGCAAAATGCACTGAAGTTGCCGGATGCCTGAAACAAAAAGGCATTATCAGTATTATTATTATTACTACCAATTTTCTTTTTTTTTACCTTTATATGTTTTCCATCATAAAGTAGGATAGTAAAAAAAAAAAAAATCTTTCACAAACTGTATTCTTGTTGATGTAACAGATGTATTTTGTTAAGTATTGTATTCCCCTTGTACACTAAGTCCCCAAATAACCACCTGGTTCACCCCTGCCACTTTACACAACCCAACATCACCCTTCAGCAGTAATTCCTTCCCCAAAATCACTCGGTGCCATGCTCTCCTCTTATTCTTGCCCTCCCCCTCCTTACCTCCAGCACATACAGTATAATTCATTCCATTCTTTCACCATCTTGGTCTTCCTATCTCATTCCTACCATCCAACTCTGAATTATACACCCCTTTTACTAATCTTTCTTCATCTCTGCCGACTCTGATCCACTCTCTGCCCAAAGTTATTTTCACATTTTATTTGTTTTTCTCATTCACTGCATCCAAAATAATAATACTGTATTGCAATAATAATAAAAATGTAAGAAAAAATTATACCAACAACTAAAATGGTGCCATATTATTCTTTCTTGATCTAAGGGTGGATATACATACACACCCTAACTAATATATCACCCACTAATCATCTCACATTTGAATCTTACAAACTGAAACATACTTGAAACATTTGTTATGCTGTATGCCATTAAGGCTACAAAACAAGTGAAGATGCATTCACCTGCTTGCAATGTGAAACAAAACAAACAGAAAGGAATGACATTACCTGAGAAAGCACAGGATAATGGGAACATTAGAAGATTGAAGAGCACAAAAGACAAATAATGTCAACAAAAGAAACAATGTCCTTTTATTAGTGAACATCTGCATAAAGATGGGAAGAAAATAAATTGGTGATAAACTGAATGTGATCAAGGCCTTTTCCTTTCTTTTATATCTTCATTTATTTTCTCATATTTAAAAACTTTCCTTTCTTATTTGCATACAGTGTTCATACTGTACAGCACAGTACAATTACACTTCATAGAAGGAGCATGTGACAACTTGTTCACTTATTCATAGTCTAAACCAACTTGTGAAAATTACCATCTTAACTTAAATGAAATGAGAACGTTGGAGGCACTAAACTTTGCAAGTGCTACTGTACCTTGGTCTGAAAATAACAATATGCATCAAACTATGGTTAAAGAACGGAGTTGTTACTTACTGATGTGATCAATAGCTCCAGCACAAAATTTTCCATAAAATTTCTTTGCTCCCAGCTGCTTAAGGTCAGAGATAACAAATGGCCAGAGATGGAGCACATTGTTACGTGACAACCGATCTCGCTTCTCCACCACCACAACTTTAGCACCCAGCAGCTGACATTCTATTGCAGAGCGCAAGCCACAAGGTCCAGCCCCAATGATCAAGACCTGCAAATATTTAACCATTGTATATTAAAGGAATAAAATCTCTTTCTAGCCTCCTGTAATACAGATATACTGTATATGGTAATCAGAATCTAGCACAAATACTGTACACACATTCTCCCTTCCTTCACTGTCACTTATTTATTCTTACAGACGTAATGTGTGTGTCCTACAGCGGTACTCCTCTTTCAAAATAAATCCTAAGATATTCATCTGGTTTCCTCCTGTCACTCCATACAAGTCAGTTGCACCCATCACAAGCATATCATTCCCCAAAATCCACACAACACCATACCCTCCACTCATTCATATACTGTACACCACTGCTTTCAGTGTAACCATCCCCTCATCATCACCACCACCATAATTTTACGTTCATTTTCCATGTTTTATCCTTTACGCAAAATATCCATATTTTGGCTTTCCCCTCCCCCACCTATCCAAATTATACTCTTCATCCACATTTCACTTCCCATTCTCTCAATTTTATGTTTTTACCATCTAAGCAGACCTGATTTAGCCTCTTCCTGGCATTTCTTTCACTTCCCACTTCCTAATTTTATTCCCCTTAAATATCACTGCATTCTATTTGTACCATACGTACTGTATACTGATCTCGAGCACATCAATCTTTTGCTTCTAATTTATTCCTTTCTTCCCCTGAGTAAGACCCCAAGTGATGAAACAAGGGGTATTAGATCAAGTGTATTTTTTATGTCAAACGAATTTTTTTTGGAAAAGTGGAAACTAACGAGTTGATATAATAAAAATAGTGCATATAAAGGTGATTTAAAGCTGATGGGCACAGCGTAATTTACTTTTTAAATATCGCCATGCATTAAATGTTTTCACTTAAAAAACTAAGTTTGAGTGTTGGTCAAGCATGAACTAAAGTAATTTACAGGGAATGTGTTCTGGTAAGCACCTTTCTATTGCTTTAATTTGTTTCTTGTAGGATACACAGATGGTAAATACATACAACGTACATGTACTTCCAACTGCTGTGATCATTAAATTACAGTACAGTATAGTTAAAATAAATGATTATGTGACTCTTACTACCTACCACGCATTGGACATAATGTGTTTATCTATACCATTTGACCAATTTACTTAGAGATTTCCCATTAGCCAACCCAGAGTAAGTGTGGACACCTGGTTATAAATAAGACAGCAGTATATAATATACAGTATGCTTAATCCCAGTAACACAGACACAGAATAATTAATATTCACTCATAACAAAAATTAACAACAATATACAAATAACAACTTACTTTGCTGTTACTACAAGCCTTGCCATGGTTGTAGCATTTGTGACTAGCTCGTTTGTCAAACTTACTCCAAAGAGCTTGGGCCTTCCAGGAGCGAAGTTTAGACTGAAAAGTTGAACACATTTTAAAAAAGGAATGGAACTAATATTTATATCTATATGCATTTCTACCATAATTTTTACTCATTGATTATACAATAATATCATACTCATCTCGCCACTACCCCACACTTATCATCATTGTCTATCACCATTCCTTCATAATAACCTAATCTTTAACCAAACTCCCCATTCCCTCACACTTTAACAGTCTCAGGTGTCCTACATTTAATGAGTCACTAATTTAGAGTGAACAATAACATAACATACTGTACACCCACCTTGAGTTTGGGATAGAAGCTTCTAATATTTGTAGGTTTTAGCCTGAGAACATCACATAGTTGACGGTAATGGCAGAGGACCGATTTGAAGGTGTTTGCTGCACACAGCTGCTCAAAGACATCAGCAGCTGCAGCACTCTCTGGTGATGGCACGCCCTGCTTGTTGTGGTGGTGGTGGGAGGAATACATGGTGCCCCCTAACAAAAAAAGAAAAAAAAGATGCATAACACAACAAACACAGTAAGTACTGCCATACAAATACAATTTCAAGCAATTTGATCTTTGGCGGTGACCTTGACCTCTGATGCAAAAACATATTGGAGCCTTATACACATTATCTTGTTAATTTTAATAATATTGTAACAAGTAACCATATACTCCAGACACTGTTTACTCTATCTGTTAACAGCATGACAAAACTTTCCTAGACATTCTTAAGAATCAATAAAAAATATCTAATAAATAGAGAGAGATAGAGCGAGACTAACCTGGGTGTGATGGAGGGTGGGTGTGATAGGAGAGAGTACGGTGTGAGAGGAAGGAGAGAGCAGCCTCAGGGAGGGGGAGGTGTGCGTGGTCAGCCCCGGTCCCACTTACACCTCACACGCACCATCCTGCACCTACAACCTGCAACACAATACAGTACTTGGCATTAGTAATCCAACCACCTCAACAACACCTGTAACAATGATGGTCCAATACCCTTACAAAATTTATACTTTAAAGGCAGCAAATAATCAGTGGTGAGCTTGTATGCAAACTAAGTGTGGCTTCATACATGAAACTACTGTACATAGTTTTTATTTTCTCGTTTACCAGTACAACTATACAACACAACATAAAAGTAACTGATCTCGTCAAACTTTTATATATATAAATATACTGTGTGTGTGTGTGAACGACATTGATGACTCGGTACCACTGGCAAGACATGCAAACCATTTCTACATATAACTTCACAGCACAAAAATAGAATACGGGATAAAGATGCCACAGATATCCAGTTAAATGGTTAAATTAAGGATAAAAAATAAAATCTATCACAAATTTTATTACATGTATTTTTCAAAATGATACAGACTCCTCGCACGATTACTCCATATTTTTTTGCATTAGCTTAACCAGCCCCTTCATTTCGCCCCTCTCTCAGTATCACCACAAATAACATGAAGTTGCCCTTTACTTTAAGCTGAGGGCGTGCCTACTCGCTCTATATATCTATGTGATCTGGCTGATTATGATGTTTGCTTCGATATCCGTCCAAGAGAGATGAAGGTAACGTCACAGCCGCCGGCGATGACGTCACCAGTCAACTTTGTTAAAATAAGTGATTTAATTGATATAAAAATCCCTTAAATGTGATTACAAATCCCTTAAATGTAAGAACTCCCATACGAGGGTTATCACAACAATGGGAGTTAAGGATGTTACAATCACATCCTACACAAGTCGTGGGGTAAACAGCACAACAGTCTACGTGGCTCGTGCACCACATAAACCAATGTTAAAGAAGGGACGCCTGCCTCCTATTATAAAATATAATTGACTAGACTCATATTACGACTTTCAGATACGGAGAATAGACTACAGAAACTTAAAACAGCGCCAGTTTGGTTACGGCGTGAGCAGAATGGGCTTATGGCCAATAAGAATCTAGTATGCTACGACACACCCTGTCACAGTTACCCTAAGAATTCCTGTCTTCAGACGATCTTGCGCCTTGGACCGCCTGTAACCCCAAATAATGGGAACTGTGGGGACGAGGCCTACGCAATGTACACAACACTAACCGCTACCAGCGATCACTAAAGTAACCAACAGTACTTCTTGTCTTTATAATGGGAAAATATTGCCTCGAACTCATGCAAATATTTACACGCAACCGCTATGAAAAGAAACAAACTTCTAAACATTACTTAAAAGGCCCTTTACAATCTTGTGCTTGAGAAACAAATATATACCTCAAGAGGTTAGTGAAAACGGCCAGATGCGTCTTTGACCTTAAGGTGAGGTCTAGGGAGAGGTCACTTTTGGAGAATGGATACGTGATTTCCTAACTTGAGTGTGGAAATTATAGTCAACTGTTGCTCTGTTATATAGAATAAATAATATTGCTGTACTTAATAAAACATACAAAGGCCTTAATTGAGTTGTGTCTTATATGAGCAGTAATAAAATATGAAAGATTGATTCGCATAAAATTTGAACAAATAAACAAACTCTTATTGGTGGACATAAAATAGTTTTCGGACAAGAGTAACAGCATGATGAGGCGGGCGGCAGAGAGGACGTATACTGTACACATACAAGACAACCCAACTAAATTCTTAAAGTATGCTCACCCACATCCTGGAGCGAGTAACGTAAATATACCATTAAGATGTAATTCACACATCCATACTAGTACTGAGTAGGCTATGGTGAGGCACCCAATTATTGGCATCTATTATTTACCACTTCATAATGTGCTTGTTCATTTTTTTTAGAGAGAGAGAGAGAGAGAGTTATGAATGTCGTATGTACAGCAGCTGGTGTGTATGATGGTATGTATGGAAGGTGTAACTGGACAGGTGTGGGTGGGTGTGTGGGTAAATCACAAGCAGTGTGAATCAAAGAGGGTGGGAGGTGAGCGTGTACAAGGACATGTCACGTTAGCCAGTGACCTTTCCTGCCCCCCCCCACCACCCACAGGTTAATGTGTGTCGTCACCACAAGGGGATAGGTGAAAGTATTGAGGGGGGGGGGAGCTGCATTTTTTTTAATGAGCGAGCGAGTGCAAGCCAGCGTGCATGAGTGTCTGAATAAGACCCTTGTAGCCTCTGTGCTCAGTTCACTTGTGGCCCAGGGCGTGTTAGTCCAACATTCTCGGCGGTTATGGTAGACGTTATATTTTCATCTATCAAGAGGGTCGTCACTGTCCCGCCATACCTATAAAACCTATCATGGTAGGCATTACAGAGAAGAAATGGTGAGCACCATACCAATAGGAAGGCGTAAGGACAATCATGGTAGTAGTGGGTGTGAACAATGTCATCAGCAGATCCATCAAAGGTCGATCTAACAAGGGGTTAGGTCACAGGTGCGTTGGAGGATGACACAAGGGGAAGGCGCCCAGCTGCGTCACGATCTAGCAACTCAAGTAGCCCGCCGCGCAACACCCACGATCAAGCGCCGAGGTGAAGAACAACAAAAAATTTAATACCCAGGAGGGACGTGAGGAGAGATGAAGGCTCCAGCTTGAGGAAGGTAAGCAAGCATTACGACACACACACACACACACACACACACACACACACACACACACACACTACATCTGCACCTGAAGGGCGCCAGGAAGCAAAGACTTTATATGTATGTGTGGACAATTGTGGCGTAATAAACACACGAAGAACGACAAGATGTAGCGGCATTGCTTTTAGATAATTTACTATAAAAACAAAGGGGAGCTACTGTACTAGACACCTGTAAACTTTACAATAAGACATAACTCAGTTAATCTTACCTTCCTTCACATTTGAATAAATTGTCAATTTTAAAATATCAAAATATTTTGAAATTGGGCTAATTAGCTTGATAATACATATAATGATTTTACCATTTTTTGAGGGTGCTGACGACATTGTACACACACACAGTACCCATTTTCTTCACTTGCGCATTTAACACCACTAAACAGGCTTTAATAAATTAAAATTAAAACTTTGTCCTAAAAAGTTTGGAAAAAGACGAGATAAAAAGAAAAAAGAGAAAAGGGGCAAGAAAAAACGAGCTGTGACGTCATCGCCACAAAATTATGCAACAAAAATTTAAGCACTATGTTATACACTACTACAGCATCTACAGATAACGTGGCGACCCATTTAACACAAGGCAGCAATAATAAATAGTGGTCATATTCAGGCAACGTAGGAGATAAGATTATCAAGATGGGGTGAATGAGCCACCCACACACACACACTGTACAGTACACTTGCAATACCCCAGAGATTATTAGTTTTACTCGTGTTCCTTATTACCATACACCCCTCCCAACACATCCTTTCTTCCATCAAGCACCAACAGCTCTGACGTGCAGATTTACATATTACCGGGTGATTGTTATAATCGGTTGTAAGTCTATTCCTAATGGGTGGCCACAATCATGAGTGGACATAGATTCAGTAAACACAGAATCCTTTCAAGCTCGCATCATTTATTCAAGTTATTGTTCTTTTGTGTCCGCATTTCCTTTCCCATTTGTACAGTTAGCACTCACACTCCCAGAAATCAAACAGCATTCAATCTTCATATTAATATACGAATAACGGCATAACTCTGCACATGTAGAGGAAAGCAAACCTCGATGTGACCTGGATTAACGATACAAACCCCGTACAAAGATGATACACAAACGTACACAACATTGTGTATTATGGATACTTATGTTGTGTGAGGTGTTCACAGAGTATAATGGAAGCCCCATTGAAATCGAGGATGGCTGGCCCTAGGGCCTCCTAAGCGTGAATTTGTCAAAGGTGCAAAAGCTGTCGCCAACACAGTGCATGACCCAGTTTCAAGGAATAGTCCGAGAAGACCGGACAACTCGCCAACTGCACTGGCTAACCATTACCCTGGAATACGATCCGCAAATCGATTAACATCCAGGTTCCCAATTACTGCTGGGTAGACAGAGGCAAATGGCGTAAAGAAACTTGCCTATAGTTTCACCCTGCCTGGGGATCGAGCTCGAGTCAACTCGCTAGCGAGGCGAGGATGCTGACCATTACACCACAGGTCGCAGAGTAGTATCGTGCACACAGAAGATAAACAGTATGAACCATACACAGCCCCATTACCCGACTGACCTTAATTATTGATGCTTGGAGTGAGAGGCTCGCCATACACTTCACTCACCAGGGAGCAGCGTGAGCCTTCTTTCACACGAGTTAGCAGATGTAACGATTTATATGAAAGTTTGTATTTCTACACCGAGTACCAAACTGTGTGTCGGGGCTAATTCCTCTCACAGTTAACTACCAGCACAACACGCTACAGTAAACCGGGTTCTACAATGTTAACAAGACGGACATTAAGTTATATGTCACGTTTTATCGAAGCTCCAAAAAGTTAAGTACCGGCACTACAATTCGCCAGTTTCCTCCACAAGGCGTCACACCACAGCCGGTTGACTCCAAAAGAGGCAAGAGGAACACAAAAACCACCACGGCCGGACGCACAAGCGACAGTGAGCTAGTCCTTGAAACTAGTGACTGACGGGACACGCCTCGTGACACACGTTAAATACTGTATCCCTCACTCGCAAGTCATGTTCACTACTATCTCTCTCTTATCAGCCCACCATATTTGGACAAGTTTTGGTACACTTGTGGCCGGATTTACGCCACACATCGAGCACCACCAACTTCCTTCCACTCACCCACAGGAGGATGCCGTTTAAGGTGACCGACTGCACACTCATCCAGAGATAGAAAGGTGGTGCTCACATCTTCATCAACCCCAAGACAATTTTCAGTGCCGAAACATAATTTCTTCAGCAGTTCATGTTTCCAGCTACAATAAGATAATTCACGTTGCTTAACCAATAACCTCACCTCTTAAGCAACACCAAGATGGCTTACAGCGTTCAA